TCTCTTGAGCATTGGCGACACTATCTCGTGAGTAAGGAATTCATCCTTCACTCCGACCATGAGGTGTTGAAGTACATTCAAGGGCAGCACAAGCTTCGACCCCGTCATGCCAAATGGGTTGAATACATTCAAACCTTTACATTCACCATCAGGCACAAGAATGGGTCCATGAACAAAGGCGCAGATGCATTGTCCCGGAGACACTTATTACTAACGGTACTTAGTACCAAACTTCTTGGTTTTGAATTTTTGTAGGAACTCTACAAGGATGATGAAGATTTCAAGGAGATGTATGCCCAATGCTTATCTCGGCCCCATGGAGATTAACTAATCAAAGATGGTTACCTCTTTCGTGGTAATCAACTGTGCATCCCGAGGAGCAGCGTTCGTGAAACCCTGATAGACGAGGTCCATGGTGGTGGACTAGCCGGTCATTTCGGGATCAACAAGACTTATTTGATGATGAAAGATCATTACTTCTGGCCCAAAATGGAGAGAGACGTCTCGCACTTCATCAAGAGATGTCACACTTGTCAACTTGCAAAGTCCCAAGCCTTACCCCAAGGAATGCACTTACCCTTACCCGTCCCGTACGCCCCGTGGGAAGATGTTAGCCTGGATTTCATTACCGGGCTACCCCGAACTCAACAAAGCAAGGATTCCGTAATGGTGGTTATGGATAGATTCTCAAAGATGGCCAATTTCATTCCTTGCGTTACTACATATGATGCTTCCCAAGTAGCCGATCTCTACTTCCGAGAGGTCGTTAAACTCCATGGCATACCCCGCAGCATGGTCTCTGATAGGGATCCCAAATTCCTTAACCATTTTTGGATGACATTGTGGAGAAAGCTAGGCACAAAGCCCAAATTCAGCACCGCTAGCCATCCGCAAACTGACGGTCAAACCGAGGTCACCAACAGAACACTTGGAACTCTCCTTCGAGTTCTAATCAAACGAAACATCAAAAGGGATTGTCGTAGAACTCAGGCTGCTCGGTCTCCTCCTAGGTGTAGAGCCCGAGACAAACGGCCATCTCTCTCACTGTCAACTGAAACGACTGGCCCGCAAGAGTGAAGGCAAATGTGGTATCAGCAGTGATCAAACTATGAGTCATCTATCGTGACTCAATCTCCGGAACAGCAGATATCGAGCATAAGAACTCGATGGTCAGTGGTAGGCTAGACTCTGCCCTCATCTGAAGCAGGCGCTGCCATCTGGTCCCCTCAAGTAGCTCCTCCATCTCCTCTGCATAGCCATAGTCCGTCAGTGTGTCTTGAGCTAGACACATAGACTCGTGTAGCACCCATGAGTGTCCCCACTCATCGAACCTCGTCCTAGAAGCACCATCAATCAGTTGGACCTCATTACGGTCCACAGTAGGGTAAGAAGGACGATGAGGCATCTGCACACTCATAAACAAACACATAAATTCTTGCCCCCAAAACTGGTGTGGCAACTAGAAACTCAAAAATAACAAATAAAATTATTGAATAATTTAATTATTTGAATGACGGGTTGCCTCCCGTTAAGTGCTTCTTTAACGTCCGTAGCTTGACGCCTTAGCCACTTTTTCCGCGACTTTCCGATCCGAGAGTCATAAAGTGATATATATCCGGGAGCATGCCCGAAGACTCTCCGTAGCCCGCCAAGGGAAAGACAGATCAGGGGAATAAAGCCCAAGTGTGGTGACATTAATTGGGTTGAAACTTCTCCATTTTCCTGTCTTAGAACCCAACCCAACACCATGGTTGTCCTACACCCACCCTAGGCTGAGCCCACACTCTCCATACCTTCCCTAAACATCCAAAATATTTC